AGCACCGCTTCATGGTCAGAGCATCCCTCCGCGGGCAGCGCGGGGCCGACGGCAGCGCTCAGGGCTCGCGGGGCTGCAAACCACAAAGAGATTGGGGTTTGGTTCGTGGTTTGGGTTTTCCCCAGTTGTGACCTTCAGGCATGGCACCAAACGTCACGGCACGGCCGGGCTCGATGTCCTGCAGTGAACTCCTGAGCTCGGGACCTTTCGTACCAGGAGCGGAGGAATTAGCGGCGTCTCCGGAGAGCGGGGGGAGCGGGCAGAGCCCGGTTAATGCTTCTGATCCCCCCTAATCCCCCCCCAGCATCCCAGCTTTGCTGCACGTGAAAGCAGCCAGCAGGACAGGTCAGCAAGAAACCCCAGCAATGCACACCCTGTTCCAAGATTGCCCTGTTTTTTGTTTTTTTTTTTCCCAGTATAATTAGTTTGGGGTGTTTCTTTTAATGGAATGAAACTGGGTGCCCAGCCCTGGTGAGGATGCACCAGTCCCCCCAGCAAAGGCAGAGCCCAGCTCACGTCTCCTGATTTTTGCCGACCTCTTGTGGTCCAGAGCGATGGGAAACCTTAAAAAAAACTCCAACCTCGCAGCCAAACCCAGCTGGAAACTCAAGCAGATGGTTAGCAGGAGGAAAAACACGCTGGGAGACGGGGAATTTAAACTGGGCACCAGTAGCTCGGCTTAGCTGGGACAAGGAGGATTTCCATGATTTTATTTTTTTTTCATCAGCATGAAAAGTTTTTTCAGCTGAAGGTGAGCAGTGTGGGATTTGGCTGGTGGGAAGCCCAGCATCAAACTATTTTGGGCACAAACGCGATTCATGACTCTGCGAAAATCCTCAACCGCGACGGCAATGCCGAAGGGACACGCTGCGAAAGGAAACGGGCGCTCAGAACGAAAACCCTGCCTTGAAATCTTGGAAAAATGACTTTTTGGTGAAACCTTCAAACCAAACAGGAGTTATTGCTTTGTAGCAGCATCCAGCAGAAGAGGACAGACATCATCTGAAGCCAAAGAACGCTCCAGCCAGCCTGGGAGGGGGATTAACCACCACGAGAAACGGAAAAAAAAAAAAATTAAAACATGAAAGAGTAATTGTGATTTTTGTCATTATATTCTGAAGAGCTGCCAGCAGTGAGAATATAATTTGGGGCTAAGCCTTAAGGAGACTTTGTGGTCCAGGGACAGAGCCCTGGCACGGTGGGTTAACCCCATGGATGCCGTTAGGGGCAGAGGTAAAGGATTTCCTGCTCCCAAGAGCTGGGAAAAAAATTTAAAAAAATCAGTTGGTTTGCCAGGCTCCTTGTCCCAGCGTCCCTGGCACTGCCACCGTTTTCTAGGGGATTTCTAAGGCAAAGGATAACCCACGGAGTCAGCTTGGGCAATCGCTGCCCCCACGTACCGTGGTCGGAGCATCCCTGCCCCGCTTCTGCCCTCAGCCGTGCCCAGCACCGCTATTAACGATATCAAAATGCGTGTTGCTTTTATGCAAAGGAGAAATTAAAATGTAAACCAGCGTTATTTCGGGAATAAAGGTCCAGGAGGAGACTTCTCACCACCAGCCTCCTGGGGCTGTTGGGCAAATCCTGTCCCCCCATGGGCTGTTTTCCCCTAATGGTACAGAAAGGGGAGATGCCAGCATTAGGGGTGACAATAAACCAGCGCTCGTCCTCTCCGGCTAAGGGTCTGGCAGCAGCCACCTCAAACCCTGATTCTGCGCAGGAGGGGAGCGGAGATGAGAAAAAAATTACTTAGCAAATCTCCCAGCCCTAAATCACTCCGTTAAATCCAGCCAGGAGCCGGTGGTACCCATGGGCACAGCGCTAGCGGTGTGGGATGGAGCAGCCGGCTCCATCCAGGGCAGGGAAAAACGAAATCCCTGCAGAAATCCCTGCAGAAATCCCTGCAGGACCTTGCCACCGCTCCCAGCGGAGCTATTTCTGCGCCGAGATGACTCACCCAGCGGCTGCTTCCCGGGAGCGCGTCCGTCCACCTTCTGCAAAAAAGGGACTCCCTCCGGAATAACAGCAGAGCGGCCGCGCTTCCGAACATGATGCAAAGCCTGGATGTCGAAACAGAAAACAAACCAGGTATTTGCTCGTTAATCACATCAAACATCAAGGCTCAAACAAACTGAATTTGGGATGAGGGTCAACATTTTCCTGGTAGAAGCAATGAGATGCTGGGCTCACCGCGAGAATAATTTCCCAGGGGAGTTTATCCCCAAAATCTCGATGTTTTCTTCCCCTCCAGCCATCCTCAGGATTTTCTGTCCTGAAGATGCCCAGGGAGGAAAGGCTGGACCCCTCCTTCTCGCTGCGGATTTTGGGCTTAATCCCATAACGGGTTCAGCGCGGGACGAGCTGCCCCACGCACCCACCCTCCTCCGCAGGATCAGACCCCACACAAGCCCCCATCACACCCAAGCCAGCGCGGATGCAGCTCAGCACCCGATTTCAGAGCCCCGAAATTGCGGAGCCCCAAAAGCGAGGGGGCACGCGGACATTTCCCAGCTGCAGGCACAGTCCCTGGGCTGGTTTTATTCCCCCGTCTTGCCTGTTGTTAACATTTTTAACCCTAAAAAAAAACCCACTGGATGTCTCTGGTGCACGCAAGACATTTGGATTTTTTTAAATTTTAACTCAAAACCCAACCACTGACCTTTGACAAATGTGTTCCCCCCTCCTCCCACCTTAGGACAGCATTAAGGGTAAAACAAGAGGATGGAGTCCTGCTGTCCCCCCCCCAAAAAAAAAAGGGGAAAACCTCCCTGTCCAGCATCATCAGATCATCGGGATCCTGCGACAATTTCACCCG